TATTTTATAGAGAACTTTTTAGAACTGTTTAAAAAGCAAGCTTACATCCTGCACTTCAATTCCCTTTTCCCAGCCATTCAAATTCCAATCGTCTATTCCCTTGGCTCCATGGTATTCTTCCACCGCCAAATTCGTGTAACTTTTTATGACCCCAAATTGCTGCATATAGAGGGTAAATCTGTCATCCATAAATTCGAGGTAGTTCTCCTTCCCAGTGTTTTGGTCGTTTTATCATTTTTTTAAATCAAGAGAAAAATCAAGGCAATCAGTAAATGGTGATAGAGCTGCAAGAAAATGCCTGATTAACAAGATGGACAGTGGGTGCCAAGAAAACAATCAACTTCTTTTGGTGAGTGGACTTAGTGGAATGAGCAATCTGCCTAATAAGCATCACAGCTATCATAGTCTTTCCAGCACCAGTATCCAGCACCTCCATAGTATTCCTCCTCTTCGCAACTTCAACACCTCAACTTGATACCTGAGAGGAAACACAATACCACAAACAAAAAGACACTTCAAATGTCAAATTCCGAGTCAATATCATCACATAAATAGGTTAAAATTTTCAAGAGAAATGGATCGTTGCCTAGTTAAGTACCGTCTGGGATTGAAATCTTGAGCAGTAGAAGGTTCAGAGTTTTGAGCAGAATGATAAGCTGTAGGTTTTTGATCCATTTCAGGATTGGAAATCATGAGATTGAAAGATTGTGTTGTTGGGAGAAGTTTGAAGAACTTGTTTTTGGGAATTCACTTTTGGACTGTGCAGCAAATGTGATTAATTATGTTCCAAGCAACGACTTGTTCTTTTTATTCGTTCGTTTTTCTTTATGATACAAAAGATTGGAACTGGTTTAGCTCAAACCTTGTGAAGGGCCTGTCTTGAACCATATCCAAATCATAGGTAGAATTTGATGAGGCTCGTTTTCAAAATTAAGGATTAAGTTTTGAATTAAATCAAAGTTTAAGTTGAAAAATATAGATAAAAAATTTGGGAAACTAAAGTTGAATTTCACGGTATTATAATGTGAGAAGTTAGGCACATGCAAGTTTCATTCTTACCGAGAAGTTAGATGAGAACACATGGCATGAAGATATCGTGATTTTCTTTCTAAACCCATGCACAAGCCAAAGAAAAAAGGCAGAGTGACAACTAGGACCCAAAGGTCATTAATTATAATTAGAAATATAAATTATTAAAATCTCAATAATGGACGATAATTCTCACTTAGAATTAAAAAATAAAAATGATCTAAAATGTCTCTTAAAAGTAACTTTAGTAAAATTTTAAGTAACTAATGTATATTTATAAATATTCTTAAAAATTTTTAAAATTAAATTTTAATTTCATATTGAAAAACAATCCATTTTTAACTATTTTTTCTTGATTTTCTAACTGAGATCAATAATATTCTCATCATAGTAATTTAAACATATCACTTCTTTATTTTCCAAATGGTTTACATATATATATATATATTAATAAGTATAAAAATTCATATGTTATTGGGTTCATATTTAAAAATAACTTTAATAAATTTTTAATTGACTATTATATATTTATGAGTGTCTTTGAAAAGTTTTAAAAGTAAATTTTAGTTTTATATTAAGAAACAATCAATTCTAATTATTGTTCTTTGGTGTTCTAATTGAGATTAATAATATTCTTATTCCATGACAGTAATCTCAACGATGACATTTGTTTATTTTTCAAATGAAAGGTAATTTTATAAATTCATATCTGTTTTTAATTTCAAATAAAGACCATAATCTATTATTAAAATTTTAATAATTTAGGATCCATAATTATGATTAATAGCCATAAGGGTCCTAATTGTCCTTTTCCCAAGAAAAAAAGGGGAATGACAGATAGGGACCTTTTGAGTAAAACAAGTTAAGGACCCAAAATTTGAAAATGGCAGGATCAAGGTCCCTAAAAGAAATTTTAAAAACTAAAATGCTCCTACTAGTAAATCCGTGGGTTAAAATATGTTTGAGCTTTCATAATTTCATAATTTTTGTGAAGGGAGAATTATATTGAAGTCTCACATAAAAAAATTAATTATTATAATATCTATCAATAACTAAGCTAAATTGTATTGACAACACAATACAATTTAATTTAATTATTAATAAATTTTGTAATAATTAATTTATATGCATGGGACTGATTATAATTCTCTCTTTTGTGAAAGCCCAAAAGTTGATTCGCTTAGGTATCGCTTGTGTTTTCGGCCAACCGCTCAGGTGCCTTCTCTGCCAGTTGAGAATTTAAAAGAATGATTAATAAACATGTATAATTTATAGAAATAACTACGCACATTCTTTTTATGTGTTATATAAGAAAATTTGGCAAAAGTTTACTTTTGTCATCTTTCAATGTTAAAGTCAGCTTCAGATCTTGGCTTATTTTAATTACATTTTTCATGACTAATCATTTATCTTTAGGAAGTTCAGTTTCGTGTTGGTACCTTCAAACTTTTAAGATGTGATCAAAAAGTTCTTCCTAGTCAGCAATATTAAATAAGCAGAAGATGATAATTTGCATATTCAAAAGCCACATCGTTAGTATTTTTATGTATTAATTATTAATCAAATAATTACAATTTAAACATTTTTCAAGGCCTAAAATAAACAATTATGACCTTGGAAATATACTTTAACTTAATGAGCGGGATATGTTACATCCCGTCTATTGAAAAGAGTAAATGACAAGAACATGACATAGAAGAAAGCCGGTTAGATCTTTAAAAAAGAAATAATAACAATTAAACTCCAATAAAATTTTCTAAAAAATAAATTACAAACAGTTAGAATTTTAAGATCACTGAAAAGCATATTGATGCTGCTCACAGGCAACAGGGAAAGTTATGCTATTGCTCTCAAGGCATTTACGTTCAATGAGAATTATTTTCCCTTTGTGGTTGGATTAGGCGGTTCTAAGGGTGAAAACAAACCAAGCCCTTAATAAAGACTTACAACCTAATTTGTTTTAAACCCAGCCCAACTTTCTTATTAAATTGGCTCAAGTCAAATTCATACTTTTTATTAAATTTATGCAGTTAAATAAGCCAAGCCTTTTTACAAACCCAACAGATTGACCTATATATATATATATATTGTGTGATATATCACAAACACATCAATTTTATCATTTAATTTTTTTTATCAATCTACCCTTTTTTTTATTTCTAACTATATTTTCAATCATATTAACTTTTATATTAATCTTAATATTGTCACTTTATTATTATATTGTATTGTAGTTAGTAAGTCCTTTCAATTATTATATATTGTAATTAATAAATCAAATTATATATTATATATTATAATTATAATAGTCCTAAAACATATTTAAGATGTTTAAAACTAAAATGCAAATATATTTAAAAGATTTAATTTTAAATAAACTTTTAAATAAGTTTTCATCTCAGTCAGGCTAAACTTTAGATAAGCTCAAGCCTTAGCTGCAAAAAAAACATTATACAATCTTCAAGCCAAGCTTGAGCCTCTAATTTACCAGACAATCTCATGCCTATTTAGCTAAGACTTAGCTTAGCCTAACTCATTTCTATCCCAAGGCTGTCCGCAAGTGATCACTCAAACCATTAAATCCTTCGATGTCAGAAGAAGCTCATTCAAGAAAACATCTTTGATTACGATTAAAAGGCAGTGGAACTGGACTCCTATACAACAATGAAAAACAAAAACAGGAAAAAAAAAAAAGGAATTACAGAACCAAGTAAAAGTGCAGAAGCATAATGATTACCTATTATGACTGGGTTTAAAAAAAATGAAAAATTCCATACTCTAAGAGTAAGTTATGTAATTCAATTTATAATAAAAATTAAAATTTATAATTATTTAAATCGATATTTATAACTTATTTTTAAAAAAAAATTATTAAAAACATAACCCTCACTATCTTTTCTTTTTAAACTACTGCAAATCTCCCTCTAGCTTCTTGAATTCCTGGATGGCTTTATTTAACCTGGAGGAATCAAACCCCAGTAGTGCTTTAATCCTAGAGGAATCTAAGTCCTTGATAAAACATTATAACACCAAGAAGATTAAAAATTCTAGCCAAAACATACCATGTAATGAGCCTTATTTTATGTGTCAAAACAAAGAATCAACATAACAGAAATATGTAGCACTATCCATCTGTCAGAACAATAAAACGAGAAATTACTGAGTGTACCTAAACCAGCTGGCTGGATTTGCAAGAAGCCAATACAAACATACTAATACAAGTGCATCAGTGGATCGCACCACTTTCAAAACCTGCTTCGAAAAGTGTATTGACTCTTTACATGCAGGGAACATTGGATATCACCTGCTAAAAGATGGAGCGCTTACCATAACAGTCCCTGCTTCCTCACTTGCCACAGTAGGCCCTAAGTCAGCTTCGACCAAACTACAAGTACTTAATAATATATTACTTCTAATCTGGCTATCAGTGCTCAGAAATATGATAATAAATCATAAATCAGATCCACGAGCAACCAAATAACTCCCTCTATAGCTGTCTCCCATCTCACAGTAATAGCGGTATTCCACGTCATCTCAGAAGGAAAAACATACTTTCTTCCAGTACAACATATACACTTCCTCAAAAATGATAGCATTTAAAAAAAAAATACAGTGCAATAATCTATATCTCCTGTGGGGAAAAAAAAATTTAAATGAAAGTTCAGACACATGTAACAAAACATAACCACAAAATACCTCTAATAACGAGGGTAAAGCACAAAAGTAATAGGACTGAAGGCTATAATCCACAAAATTATTTAAAAATATAAATAAAAAGTAAAACACTTACTTCCAAAAACCCAAACCAATTTCAAACCACCAACTATGGTACTGCTTCCCATGGACACCTGCAGAATACAAACATTTTGTCCCAGAAATTCATATATTGCATAACACTGATACATGAAATGACTCGTTGAACATGAGGAACAGAAAATAATCACAAGATTCAGCACTTCCGCAAGTGCATGTACAGGGAAAAAAAAAAGATTGCATTGCCTGGTGCAAAAACTTGTATTCACAAATATTTGAATCGAATCGGCTTTCGCCCATAAAAATGATTGCTATCCCAATTAACTAAAAGGATAACAATATACAACTAATCTACCAAAAGAAAAAAGGAATTGTGTTCCTCTCTACACAAGGGCCAGGAGAGACGATCCTGCACAAACCTCTATATTCGTCTTTCCCCTAAAAAAAGGGGGCCCTTTAAGGAAGGTGGTAATATACAAGATCAGAATGACACATAAAATAACCAATAATGCCTGCCAACACTACTTCAGTTGATTTTTCAACAAGACCAGCAGGAATCAACGTGTATCTGTTTCCATATTCACCAGCTTGATCTGCACAAAACCCCAAAAAATAAATAATGCTATTTTTTCCTATCATAAAAGGACATAAACCTGGCAAAAGAGCAAACAAAAAGGCCAGATGAATACGCACACAACAAATCAGACCAACTTTCATTAAGTACCTTGCAACGTAACGCAACACTTGAAAACAATTCCATTACTATATTCTACATGAGACAAAATTAATGGGGGATCAAAGTTCATGCGCATTTCAGCTGAGAGAAGGGTTGCAACATAGATCCATGAATTATGTATGTACCAGATCAAAATTGGGAGGAAAACCCTGCTGATACCATATCATTATCAGTTACAACTCACATACTATATATAACGTCATCTAATTTGCATGACTGTTCCTTTAGATTCAAATTAGGAAAGAACAAGCTAGAAAGAATTTGGATGGAGGAAAAGATCAAGATGAAAGTTGATGCAGATAGATTTCCTGTTGTAAACTACGAACAGTAGTAACAATAACCTAAACCAGTTGGGCTTGATTATGCTAAGATTGATATCATTGTGCTCAAAATAGAGGGATAATACCTAAGAATTAAACATAACCACATTAGCTCAATGGAAAATTTGTAGTAAAAAGGAACGAAGACATTACAGGTCTAACTGGAGCCAGGCTGCTGATTCTCATCAAAACAAGACCTCAATGTCGAAACAAATTTGACAATAGCCACCATTGTCGCCATGTGGAAAAGGGTCATATTTTAAGTGCTGATATGACCATTGAGGATACTTTATCTACACCAAAATTTTGTTGACTGTATGCCTGATGTGTATAGTGCTGTAATATCACTGTAGTTATTGTAGTTAAATGTCTTGTATCAAGCCTCTGTAAATACAAGGTTTTATATAGGTCAGGTGTGCCAGAATACATTTGCCACAAAATGCTCCTATCTTTAGTCGGTAATGGTTCGGAAAAATCATTTGATGTTTGTAAATAGCAACACTTTCTTTTACCATAAACTCAGAAGCCACATTCCCCCTCCAACAAAATATATATATATATATATATATTAAAAGAACAAAAAATGGATATACTAAAATCAATGCTCGCTATATTTGTGAATACAAGGGCAGGCAAAGTAAACTTAATAAATAAATACCTGAAAATAGCTGCCAAGAGGGCATAAAAATTCCAATCCTGACAATCAACTTGCAGGGTGGTTGCTGTGTCCATTTGATTGTATCATTCCCATTTAGAATGAGGACAGACAAAAAAAATATTCCGCCCTGGCTGAAGATGCTGCAATTATTACTGAGGTTGATGTTGCAAAGTCACATGTTTAGGTGAATGTTAATCTTGGTCCCGTTGATGCTGTTTGTGGGGCTCATGTGGTTGTTGGGATAGAATAGGTTGTGATGACGATTGTTGAATAGGCAGTGGCTGTTGCCGCCGCTGTGCAACTGAATTATGTACATGAGGCATGACAAATGACAACTGCCTAGGCCCTTGCCCTTGACTGATAGTCGGTTGTGGCCCATTTCCCACTGAATTTCTAACAGGTGCTTTCCCCAAGGAACCCACTTGAGTGGCAGGAGTTGGAACATGGGAATCAAATGGCGCTTCTGAGTTTCTCCGCTGAGAAGTCATGGTGGGAATAACTGTTACCACACTAGAAGAATCAACACAACCATGAGTCACAGCAGTGCCTTTACTAATCTGAGAAGCATTAATTTCAGCAGGCTGATCCGCCTGAGTTGAGTCAGGTTGAGGCTTGCTTGATGACTCACAATGCAATTGACAAGTCCGTTGCAACATTCTCTGCGCATTTTGAGTTTGATTCATTTTATTAGATTGTAGCTGAGATTGTTGCTGACGCTGGGGCTTATCAGCAGAAGAAAGAACAGCTGATGAGACAGCTGTCTTTGGAGATGAAATTACATGACCTGATCGGACTGGTGGAACCTGGCCTTGAGTACTATTATCAGGTGATGCCATTGGCTGAAGTTGCTTTGATGAAGTGTTTGTTGGTCCTGAATTTAAGTTCTGCTGTAACTGGGAATGATTTGAAGAAAGAGCAGGACCCAATGGCTTTGACGGTTGAGTAGGATTTAAGTTAGAAACAGGCTTTATGTGTTGAACTCGTATCATGTGTGTAATTTGGTCCCCTTTGTCAGCAGTTTGACTTGTTGGAGGCACAGATAATCCACTGACATGAGAAGAATCTATAGAGATATTCTGTTGGACTGAGATGCTTCCTCTTCCTATGCCTTTCACAAGTTTAGCCTGCTGTTGAGACGGTGGATGCTGCCGCTGATTAGGATGCTGCCTACCAGATTGTTGATGCTGCTGCTGCTGAGGTGGCCGTTGCCTTTGCTTCACTGCTTGATTGTTCAATCCACTAGCACCAGGATTCCTGCTGAATCCATGTGCCATGTGATGTTTCTGCTGTTGGTGCAGAGATGACATGGGAGTCAAAGGGGATGAAGGCGTCACTGGAGAATGAATCACTTGTTGAGATGAATTTTGAGACTGGACGGGGGTATTATTTTGCAGAGATGATGACATGGGAAGTTCAGACTGTGCCTGAGCATGTGGCCTCAGAGCATTTGGTGCAGTAAACTGTTGCTGCTGCTGAGGATATCGCTGCTGATGTAACTGTCTTTCCTTTGCCAGTCGCATTGCATAGGCTTGCTGCTGCGGATGAGCAGAATGGTTTGGACCTTGAGGATGAGAATGAGGACTGCTAAGATGTGACTGTTGTTGGGACAACTGATGTGGCTGCTGAACTTGCCCTGGGTATGGCTGAGCAGGTGTTGGAGCAGTCTGATTACTAAAGGAAGAACTCAACCCACTGAAAGCTGAAATACCTTGGCTATTCCCTTGAGTGACCTGCATCTGAATCTCTGGAATCACCACTTGCCTTTGATGTTCTGGATTATGTCCAGGCTAGTGACCAGGCAAAAGTTATTAGTCAAAATTGTAATGGATTTACAACATGTGTCAACAAAAGAAAGAAAAAATAATAGTAAAAATGACTGATGTTAAATTTATTAACAAGTACCAAGGAAGCCATTTAAGATACGTCAATGAATAGATGCTGAGTTGGATGGAGTAAGAACTTTATAGTCATAATTCCACCAATGAAATTAAACCCCAAAAAAATCAAACTAGAGCACCCCTCACCCTTATCATATGTGTCTCATGAGGTCTCAGCATCGAATTGCCTTGTCCAGAATTAACTCCAGAGTGTTTGTTTACAGGGCTTGGCATCCCCGTCATATTAGAGGCAAGCATGCTCCCAGAACTCACCATAGGCGATGATGCCATTCCTTGAAACCCTGATCTTGACAGTCCCATATTTCTATTAATCCCACCAATCACACCCACGCCATTTCCACTAGGAAACATGTGCACACTACGTTCACTTACAGAAAGAGATCCAGGAATAGACATGCTAGGCTGCCGAATATTTCGGCCAGACAACATTTGATTATATTGTTGAATTCTTTGCTGCTCATCAAATGACAAAGGTGAAGTTCTTGGAACCCCATATCTGTTGTCACAGAAAAAATAGTAAGTACACATCAATTTGGGTTGTGAAACTAATGCGACACATTTATAGTTGCAAAGCAAGAATCTCCAGCTGTAATAAGATCATACCTAGCAGAAGCAGCAGCTGGACCAGATGGTGAAGACAAATTATTACCAGGAACCATACCAGAAGACCCTGAAAGTGCAGGACTTGCCCCTGATGTAGGAAGTGCTGACATCACAGAACCTTGATTTGGTAGTAGCAAACCACCACCACCATAAGAACCTTGATACCCAAGGGAAAGGGAGTCTGCTGCTGGTGCATTTATGTCACAAAGATCAAGCGGCCTTCACCAAGAAATCAGAAAGTTAAAAAACTTATGCCAAATGAAATAGAAAAAGAAAAAGAAAAAAAGGAAACCAAAAATGTGAAAATCACAATGTGAAACTAAATCCAACAAGATGAGCTAAGTAGGCAATGGAATAGAAAGTGAAATGGAGGTTAAACTGATGTTGGATGTGGGCCTTTAGTCTTATGGGGCCTAGACCCACAAAACACAACTCAGTTTTCCTTTTAGGCTAATAACGTTAATTTTCCTTTTATATTTAGTTTTATCATTATTAGATTAGATTTTATAGAGAGAATTGAGGGATCCAAATTGGATTATTTTCTCCCTCCCTCATCAATGTATGTATCGTGTTTTTGTCAAAGAAATACAAGAAATTATTCAGTAAATAATTTCATGGTATAAGAGCAAACATCTTGGCCCCCTCATCTTTTTCTTCTTCTATAGTATTTGGTACGATGTCGTTCATAGATGCCTCAACAAACCAGCCACCACAGGCACTCTAAATTGGCAATGGAAACAAGAACTCAACTGGTGATTGCAACGGGAGGGAGTACTGGGCTGAATGGTGCGACTGATGGCAAAGGATCGAAGGGTGTGTTTGGTGGCACAGGGTCAAAGGGTCCAACTCTCTTCCCTAGAACAAGAGCATTAGTGACTGAGGTAGTTTCTCATATTGCAATTACTCATCGATTCAATGGAAACAACTACCTACAAAGGTCCCGAAATGTTCTATGGCTGTATGAGGGAGAAACAAAGGGAAATCTTTAACAGGTATTCCTTCTCCACCACCTGCTGATGATACCCAGTATGAAGTCTGAGTTGCTGAAGAAAATATGGTAATGATGTGGCTCGTGAACTCCAAGACAGTGGAGATCAGTAAGAATTACCTGCTCGCAACCACCACCAAAGAAATATGGGAGTCAACAAAGAATACTTGCTTGGTTAGAGAAAATTCTGCCACCATATTCCAGGTAAAACGTTCCCTTACAAGTCTGTAACTAAGTATTATACTAGTCTAATGAAATTCTGGCAGCAAATCAATCTCTATGAGATCCATGAGCAGTCTTGTCACAGGGATGGGATTTATTACAGAAAACTAATTGATCAAGACAGGTGTTATGATTTCCTGTTGGGCCTCAATGACCCCTTTCAGGATATCCACGGTCAAATAATGAGCATGATGCCTATTCCTACACTGGAAGAGACCTTCAATATGGTCCGATGTGAGGAGAGCAGAAAAATACTAACTCAAAGATCCATGACAGCTACTTCTCTTCTAAATAATGCTTCTGCACTTGCTGTCCGTGGAGCTCAAGGAGATATGAAGGGCAAAAGACCTGGAAAATGGTATGATCACTGCAATAAGGGCGGACACACCAAGGACATTTGCTGGAAATTACATGGCAAGCCTCCAAATTCAAAAGAAAAGCCTAAAAATTAAGGTATGGGGCCTATGGTTGGTACAGCAGAACCTGAAAATGGATCTTTAAGTACTGAAGCGTTGTCCATTCACCGAAAATCCTAGAGAAGCACACTTCTTTCAACTGCAACTAACGTAAGTGAGGCAACACACCCTTCTGTAACCTTGGCACAATTAAGCACTGCCCTTACTAATACTCTTAGTGGGATAGCTAACCCAAAAAATATTTGGGTGGTGGATTCAGATGCTACTGATCATATAACAGGTTTCAAAGAACTATTTGCTGAATTTAATGAATATTCTAAGCATAAATATGTTGAAAAAGCTAATGATGAATCTGCAAAAATCATGGGTACTGGAACTATAATTATTTCTAAACATATTATCTCAAATAACATTTTCTATGTTCCTACTATTAATTGCAATTTGTTGTCTATAAGTTGCATTGTCACCCGCTTGGTGGTTTTTGACAAAAATGGTTGTGAATTTCAGGACTTGGCCTTGGGAAAGAAGATTGGCAATGCTAAGGAATGGAGTGGGCTCTACTAAATCTATGGATCTCCATCTAAGAATAATCGTGCCATTTGTTCAGTCATGACCAGTGCAGACTTTACTTTATGGAACTCTAGGTTATGCCACCCGAGCCTCCAATATATGAAATTTCTATTTCCTAGCATCAACAGTAAAACAATCTCTGAATTTCATTATGATACTTGCAATTTTCCTAAGCAAATCTGAAACTCTTTCCCCACCAATTCTTATACTCCAACTCACCCTTTCTCCCATATCCATAGTAATGTATGGGGTCCATCAAAATTTGAAACAAACTCAAAGTCTAAATGGTTTGTTACATTCATAGAAATTTGAAGCATTCAGAAGCAAGTTGGGAACGATCAACATCTACTCACCAACTTGAAGGAGAGTGTTGGATGTGGACCTTCAGTCTTATTGGGCCTAGACCCACAAAACCCAGTTTTCCTTTTAGTTTTCCTTTTAGGCTGATAATGTTAACTTTCCTTTTATATTCTGCAATTAGTTTTATCATTATTAGATTAGATTTTATAGAGAGAATTGAGGGATCCAAATCAGATTGTTCTCTCCCTCCCCCATCTATATATGTATTCCGTTTTTATCAGAGAAATACAAGAAATTATTCAGCATATAATTTCAACTGACATCAATTACTGTTGGACGTCAAAGGAGATCATAATTTCTCCTGCAAAATTATTAGTAATTTTTCTCCTAATTATTAGCCTATTTTATTATTTTGTCTACTCAAACATCATCATTATGCTTCTATTACTTTTACCTGTTTTGTGGCTAGTTTGGACGGATTAGATTGGAGGTTTGTCTCCTTTCATTCTCTATATATTTTATCACTTCTCATTCAATAAAATTTGAATTCAGAGTTCAAATTCTCTGAACTTCCACAATTATTGCTTAAAAACTAAACTAAAATAAAATAAAATAAAACTTACGTTAAAAGACCTCCATTCAGGTTGTTTGGGAAGACTTGGGAAAGAGCAATGACATGTGAGTTATGGACACTCGTTATTTGTTTTACATCCTGATTATCATTCTGCATTAAAACAGAAAACCTCAAATTAGAAGAATCAAATTATGAGACTTAGAGGGATAAAAGGACAACAAAGTTGTCTTTCCAAGTCCTCCACTGCCCCAAAGCTGCTCAGAACTACAAGCTCATAATTACAAATGATCAGATGACGCATCAATTACTTAATCTTATCATAGATCAACAGGGCACTACCAAAGAAACTCAAATGGAAAAATTCCACGATCACTTTTGTTCACAGCATGTACTGTTTGGTATACAGGAAAAAACTGGTAAATACTTATGAAGAAAATTAAGGAATTCCAGTTCCTTTCAAGGCAGATAATAGCCTGCATGCTACTTAACCACAAGATCATGTAATAGACACTGAATAATATCTTGCACCATCTCTATCCCCAGCAATCACAAGAAAACATAAAATATAGATTATATCCAAATAACAATATGCAGCACATGATTATCATAGCCACACCTCCCCTAGGATTAGTTATTACAAACGATCTAACATGATTATGCAGAACATAATCAAAACACTCAACTTAACCAACCACAAGGGAGCAACCTAAAGCATGATTAAGTGAGCAGAGTCTATCATTGTAATATAAATCAAGACCCATTAGAAGCAATAAGGATAGAAAATATTTGAAATTTAATAATAAAAGATGATAAAAGGTGTAAATGTTGGCAAGGAAAAGAAGTCCCAGTGTCATAACAACTAAACCTGATTCAGGTGGTATTTTTGTCCAATCTTAATAATTTTCTCAAAATGAGACTTGATGGTGTCCTCCTCCATAGGCCCTTGCAAACGCTGAAACAACTGTCTAGCACTGCCCTGCAAAAGTTAGAACAAATCTAATCAATCAAAACCTCAAAGCTAAGGTAGTTACGTTCAATACACATAGTTTCACCATTGCATATTAAATAATTGTTAATTAGAAAAAATGAAATTTGATAATAGATTCCTGCCTTTGGAATTCCAGGTAATGTGTATGGATAAGACTGAGAAGACCCTGAATCTTCAGCACTATCTGCACCATCCCCAGCACTTTTATCCATTAAGACCCTATGACGCTCTTTGCACTCTTTTGGTTCCCGAAAGATATACTAGAAATGTCACAAATTTTTATCAAGTAAGTGAAGAATCCATTATAGAACAATGATCCAAATAAAATTAAACTAAATAAGAAACTTCAACAGTCAAAGCTTCTAAATCATGAAAAAAGGAAGGGGGGAGGAATATGACATCTCCTTTTGACCTGGCAGCATAGTCAATATTGGCAATTGCTGAAATCTTGTTCCTAAATATTACATATCGAAGCCCTATCACTTGCCATGCTGGATCAAGGGCAAGTAGCGTGAGAAAACATTCCAGGATGAACATTTTTCAGAGGGTAAAGGACCGTCGCCCTTTCATTTATACTGTATCTAGTCAAAACCACAAAAGGAAAATGATGCTTGAAATTTCACTTAATCAAGTCATTCTATAAACCCCTAGTCCCCAAAATGACATGGTTAATTTTCTTTTAAAAAAAAAAATCATCACATTTCATTTCAACAATATATCTTTAAATTAGTAGAAGAAAAATTAACATGACGCACACCCCTATAATCTTAATTTGCTTCAAAACCAAGTGACATGGATTGATTTTCTTCAAAACAGAGAAAACAAAATGAATCTAAGTATACATTTCAACAATAAATCTTTACAGTACTATAGATCTTCCCTCCATATGCAAGATTATTCATATATCATCACTACCTTGAACTGGAGTGTACTATTGATTGCATCACTCACAAGCTCCCAGTTTGGACCCATATCATGCACCAACACAACAAGGGCCTGCAACAGAAAATAGAGGAAAGCCCTTTTTAGATTAGTCCTTTTGAAAGATCATAGAACCTACACTAATTATACAAAAATTGGACAAAAGAAAGTCCAATACAGCTGAGGAACAACAAACAACCTGGTCTTCAAACAGCGACCAAGGACCTCCAGAACCTAACTGTCCAGCAGATATCTAAATGAAAAACAAATAAGCAATTCAGCAAAATCATAGCAAGAGAAATTGCCTGAAGATAACCCCCTAGGTCAACATCAAAGTTACCTTCAAAGTTTTAGCTTTCCGGCCCGTTATGATTTTAATAGATTTACTGAGATTGGACATGTTACTCATTTGTGATGCAGCAGGGGAGGGAATAGAATTAGCCATTGGACTAATATTGTCAAAAGTGTTATCAAATGATTGCTTAGCTATCTTTGGCTTCTTGGCATTATGTTGTCTATACAAACCTATAAACAGGACAGTTGAATGTGTAAAGAGCAAAGAATACTAATCATGAACAAAAAAGATTTGCAAACTATAACAGATAACAAGGTGAAATACCATTAGATTCAAAATGATGATCATCCAATCTCTTCTTGGAAAGATCCCTCTGCATTGACAAGAGAACACGTTATGACTAAATTAGAAAATATTAATATTAACTCAGATGAGTGAAGAATGGACTAAAAAGAAAAGCATTTAAAAAAATGACTACAATAACAGTGACAAAGAAATTGACTGTCATAGTCAAAATGTATTTTATTATGCTTTTCAATTTTTCTAAATATTTAACTTGGATAAAATAGGAAGGTATACTCATCGACTTCTCAAAACAATGTGCTCCCTAAAATCAAACTTCGCCCCAGTGAATTTGCATATGTAACTAAAAGTAAAAAGGTAGAGGAAGAGAGCAGAGAGAGAGGCCAAAATCAACTTCTAACAATCTATTCGAAGTCCAAGCACACCATTCTACAATCTATAAAACCAGCATCAATAATCCCAGTATCTTAGAAAATAGCTTTACAAAATAGAGTCAACATTTAATAGTTATAAACTGTTGATCTAACGCTGATCTAATAACATACTCCCTATTAATGTCAAACAGCCAGAAGTTTTGATTTGGTTTCATGACCTCCCAAGAGCAACACTGATATCATGGCAAGGAATTTTATTATATACAGGAACTACCTGTTCATTTAGAACAACAGAATCCAACTGCCATCTCTGATCATATGCAGAAACCTGCAGACATGCTTGTTAAGCAACTAAAGCTGAAGTACGTATGAAAGTTTGTTTATACATTATAAAAAAATCTACACATCTCTAAAAGTATGCCTTGGAGTTACATGAAAATGAGAAAATCCAAAACGATGATTACCAGATTCTTTGCCTTCTTCTTTGGTTTAAAAGATATTTCTACACAATCAGAAGGTAACTGCTTCTCTAGGTCTTCAACTGACTCACATCCATACTTTTCAGGATCTGCAATCCGCTATGTAAAGTACTCTGGTCATCCTGAAAGGAACTGGTATCTCCGCTTGAAGCATCTGCCTTAGTTAGAGCCTGCATGGTCCCAGTGACCATGAAAGGATTCACAACTCTCTGCCTAGAAACCATACGCTTGCGTTTTCGTTTTGTTGGTACTGACCCAACATTTAAACTACCAGGCCTTCTTCCAAATAGCGTGGATGGCTGAGTTCCAACAGTATACTTATCACAGGACCCTGGAGCATGAGACTTCATATTTCTATTTTTCTTCTGCGCATGCAAGTAATAAGTGCAGGTCTCTCCTTCATCCTCATAACATGCAATCTCTTCAGAACCAGCCTCTACATTTAAATTAAAGTAGAAAACTGTAACAAGTGCACAACTGGTCAAGAATGCATTCCCGTATTAAATAATATATATTGATGGAAACCACTGACTATTCAGATTAGTTTTTCTGTTATTATTTGGGCATTTTCCCATTATTTGTTGCTTATTATCTTTTCTGTTATCATTTTGGCCAGATAGGATTAGCTAACTGGTCCTACTAAAGTGACCAGATATCCAGGAGGAAACTGATCTAAATTAGTTAAGAATCTTCCATTAATACGTAAGCCACCAATTGAATGAATGAATAATTCACAGGATCACAAGTTATGACCTTTGTTCCACATTTATAGTCCCAACATTACCTGCTGCAGGATCATACAAAGATGTCTCAACTTCCTCTTGAATGCCACTCCCAGTTCTCTGGAAAAACCATAAATTAATTAGCCCTAATGAGAGCAATCAAAGGCTAAATGATGATTAGGCACAATCACATTGATAATATATGAGAAACAAACATTGTCCCTGCAAAAATTCTCTAAATGCTTGTTATCTTTAACCAACAAGACTAAAATGTGATTCCCAGCAACTCTATGATCTAAACCACTCGAGAGTAGAAAACGCAATAAATGGAACATCTATAATCATAATTTTACCTCGAACTGTAGAAAATGGTATTCAACAGATTTTCTATATGCATGAATTGCCATAGGAGGAACTGTATAGAAAAGATTTTCCTGTCAAATCAAAATGAAATGGAAAGAGTTACTTGCTTAAATCCATGAAATGAATAAAAATACAAAAAAAAAAAATCCACCTAAATCATCTACTAAGCCATCCAATAGATAAAGCAGTCTCATCTAATGGGAATCAACTACAACATTTGATAAAACTAGCATGCCAGTGCCAAAATAAAGGTGATGGAGAGAAAAAGAGTAAGAGAGATGGGTCACTAACATCAACATTAACATGTTAACCAAATACTTATAAGCTAACTTGGCCCATACTTCAGTAAGAAGCTCTTCCCATGACATGTCCATGTCGCCAGATACTGACATCCTTTCAGGTGTCTTCATTGAGTCTGTTTGAGAGGAAATTCCAAGGGAGCTGTTATACTTCAAAAATCTCAAAGCATATGCTTGCAATTTAAGTGCCACAATTTTTCTGGGAGATTGTCCCTCCAAGCCTTTGCTTGTCTCCTGGCAAGTGGCAACCAAACATTATAACATCAGTAAAAAAAATTAGGTCACAATACAAAACAGTACAGAAAGCAAAAGATATACAATTTTCTCTAGATGCATCCCTGTTATAAGCATAACATAATATTCTTTCCCATTATAGTATCATTCAACAATTCTGAACCTCTGATGCATCCAGTTACAGTGCACAAAACAGGCTAACATCAAGCAAATGAACATATCAGAAAAAGTTGATAATAGTGCAACACAGGGAGGCAAAACAGTAATATGCACAGCCAATATATCGTCTGCAAACAATGAAAGGTAAGGATAGAAACTTTTCAAGTAAGATTGTAATTTTCAATTCAGAAATAGTCACCAGTTGTAAATGATACGAGAACATAAAGCATAATCAAACTAATTTGAGGTGTTAAGGTTTAGAACCATTAAATAGCTAAGAATAACAAAGATCAACAAATCAACCAGATCCATAAAATTTGGCAAAGGTCAACAAGTCAACAACGTCATTGTATGAATGAAAAAAGGTTTTATATGCCAATTAGATGATATTGATTAAGTGGCTTGACATAGAATTATCTGACTCCTACCCAAATAATGTTCAGATGATAGCTAAATTAAATTTAAAAAGAATTGTATAACAGAAGTCATATCACCAAATTGACCAACCCAAAGCAGTGGCAAACAGAGAAGGTCTGAGAAATTTTCTTTCTTTTCTTTTCTTTTTTCTTTTTTGGTCATGGATAAAGTGAAAGGTTCAAGCGAACAACCAGCATCACGTTGGAATCTCTGTTCTTGTCACTAGAAGCTTCATTTGAATAAACTTTCCCAGATTCCAGTGAAGAACCCATGTCTTTATAGCTAGGATCATCATTATCCACAAAGTGCTCAACCGAATGCCAAAACTTCATGACAGCCTTTGCCATGCTGTGAGCCAAATTTGTTGACTCCCAAGGTTTGTTTTGTTTGCCATATCTTATTTGATATGTAAAAACAGCTTGACGACACAATTGGGCAGCAACAGTTGTCTTCCAAAGACGCTCCTACAAACACATTCAATAAACAGAGATCAAAATTCAAAATATAAAAATGGCAAGACATAAATTTGCCAATCCAAAATCCAAAAGACCCTAATATAGCAAGGGGGAGAGATGGGAATCTCTAGTAGATTTAGTTATTTGAACCTGTGCAAAATCATTTGCCAACCATGCCATTTCCTCAAGGACAAAACCCCAATGAGATATTTTCTGGTTTTCTGAAGGCAATTTCTGAATTGATAATTCTGCAATCCTCCTGCGCTTGGCCTATTTATCATTGCCATATAACGTCAGAACTTTTGATGCTTACACAAAACAAAAATAAGAACTCCAAAAAATTGACAAATAGCAGATCGTTGATCACAAGAAATCAAGACCAAAAAAAAGACCTCTATGATCCGAGCCTCTTCCAAAATAAAATCTTCATTGGCCTTGTCTGCCGACTTCAAGTGACTAGAACATGGTCCACAGTCAGAGGCAGCACCATTAGCCTTTTCTGCCAGAGCAGCCTGAGGTTCTGAAATTGACACACCCATAGGACCAGAATGTCTTACACAGCCACTGTCTTTGATGGAGCAACAATGATCCACCATGACACCACTTCCTTTATCAGTCTTTGATGTAGTATTAGCATCATGCTGCACTTCCTTTCTATTGCAAGAATCATTACTGCTAACATGCACATCTTCCTCATCCTTAACGATATTAATAGTACCACAATGGTTTTGACAACCAGCATCATGATTATAGCTAGCAATAGCATTACTTTCACCATTGTTGGTCTTGTTATTTTCTTTTACAACTTCAAGAGTTAAATTTAGTTTCTTCTCAAATTCTGCTGCCTGATTTACATCACTTCCATCAGCATCAACATTCTTTATACCAGTATGTATGTCATTATCATTATTTACATATCTAACTAGGCATGTTTGGGTGCAAGAAGACTCTGAATCAAAATTTTTCATGCCTAGTACACTTGTCCGATCTACTTTTATGTTGCCAAAGCCATTGGGTTGACCAGAACAAATTTCATTCTGACATTTTGTAGTATCAGTGAAAGGGGGAGGCTCATGGTCATCTGAAACTGCCAGTTCCTTGGACTCAACCACATTAGCCTCCCTTGAAGCCACAACAACTGAGTTTTGTGCAGTATCATCTTGAGAAGGTAAAACACATTTATCTTCCTTAACACTAATGCTGCTATTACCTGTTTGATTTGTTCGTACATGATCCAAGTCATTTTCCAAATCCTTAGAAACCACATCACCATTTAAACTAGCAGGCTTTGGCTTGGAAGCAGAAGACAAGTTGTGAACTTTTTGGCTGTTTGCCTCAGATGTTAACCCCTTCCCATCTCTTGAAGCCCCGCGAGGACCATGATTTGGTCGGGACCTATTCCTTCGAGCATAAGGGCGGAAAATAGCAGAATCTTCTGACTCCTTAGCATTTTGACTCCCCCCAATTTTAGAAGAGTGTTCCGATGGGGCAACATGATTCCTTCTATTCAAATGTAGAGTCCTCCGTTTACTTTCAGTTGACGCATTCTCTCGATCAAAAAGTAAGAGATTATCAGCAGTATTAGGTTCATTAATCAAAGGAGCCACTGGTCTAGCACTGCTATCAACTGAGTCACCATGAGGGGAGGCAGCCAATGCAAAACTACCTTTTGCTTCACTGACATCATAATATAAGAAGCGAGCAGGAGAAAGACGCAAGATATATCAATAGGCAAATTATACACAGAAGAGGTTCATAAACAAATAGATCATAGGCCAAGATGGGGGGAAAACAGCCAACCTTGTCACGAATTGCTCATGACGTTGGTCAGTGAGTGAAGTAGACTGGACGCTAACTGAAGCAGCATTCCCAAACTTGAAGTCCAGGGGATTTCCACCCTGCACACAAAGGATAAGTCCCCATCATTTAAATAGAAAAATTTGGAAACATAGGCTCAATGGATCAAAACACCATACTTTTTCAAGAAATTCTAGCTCCCTTCTTCTTTCCTCACGGACATCACACTCCTGTCTGTTATCAACATTTAACAGTTACTATTTCAGCATCAAAATAAAATTAAGCTAAAAATTACTCAAATGATGAACCACACAATAGGATCTCCCCATCACCTGAGTTCTGCTTGAGCTTTCTCAACTGCTGCTTGGTGAGAAGTTTTCAAACCTTTACCAGTTCTGCAGTCAACAACTCCTCCCATGGAATCAACCTCAGCATTTACAAGGAATGTGGGGCCTGAGTTACATCCATGCATTCCCACCGCTATTGTCCATAAGCTTCACCTTCCATCTATTACTGAATCTGCCCATTTATTAAGACATAGGATAAAGAAAGCCACAAGCTATAAGTCCATATATAAAAACAACACCTAATTATATAGAAACCTCATGGAAATATTAAGGCACAAAAGCTCCCATTTCAGCCAAACATTAGAATGTGAGCACTACTAGTACTCATCATTTGATATCAACCAAACATCATCTGAAATATGAAATTCACTCCAAAATAAGAAGCATAACATTTGCACGCGCTTTTCAGCAAGGTTTGATCACTATAAGAAAAATCCCCTTCCAAAAATAAAACAGTGAACTCTCTGCACAACTCAACTGTAAAAGTATGAAATCCAAAAGACCACCCGCACTTTATGGCTGCAATGCTTGCAAACCACATTTATTGTCCAGCAAAGTGATGTTGTCACTATATCAGCAATATTGTGGCCACATCACAAAATGTGATCTGCAATAAACAACCATGCCTGGAAAATAACATGGGTTGCAATGTTTCTGCAGGCTGAATATAAAAGAAGCAAACGGGAAGAAAACCAGAAAATTATGCACATATTATTTATAAAGAAAATTTCTATGTAAGTAAATTTTCACCAAGAAACATGAAAAATATTGAAGGATCACAGAGCTTTTATGTTACTTATTGATATGTTTTCAATGCATAAGTAAACTTTGGTTTTAAAAAAGCCCTTTACTACTCATACTTATTAAATAATGCTATATCAAAAGAGTATGGTCTACTTACATGCACTTAAATTTCAAAGAAATGCATTTTTCAAGTAAAGTTTATACTACATCTATATAAATGAATCTATAGAAAGCCAAATGGCTTATGAAAAGTAACAACATAGCTTCTCTTGAAATCCATGCTTTTGTCCCCTCTCTTTTATTTTTTTTTTTAAATAATTCTCGCTTTTACCTTTTGCACAACACATTAATTACATTTTTTAAATTTTAATTGTGATTTTCTCTCCAATTTTTTTCAATTTTTCTTTCAAGTATTACATTCCCTCAAATTATTATCTATCCTGTGCAAGGCAGAGGACAAAATCTATCTAGTTAGATATAATTTTTCGAAAATAAAGTCAAATTCAAAGGAAAAACCAATATTAAATAATTCAAACATTCTTTAAAAAAGGAAATTTTTTAATATGAAAAATAGGTTAGTCAACATTTATTGCACAGATAAAACTTTCACCGTTCCAAAATGTTCACCCAATTATAGGGACCTTTCCTCGCCCCAAAAATGAAATTAGGATACCTTTAAATGGAAAGTAGCAATCCTAACCTAGAGGGGACAGAATATTCTTTGAAAGCCTTGATAATGGTAGGCTTTTGATACATATATTTAGAGTAGAATCAAATGTTTAGTTTCAGATGCACCATAAGAATAATTCATAAACCAGATAATACTGATGCTATTTTACCAAACATTTAACCGGCAGTTTTATGCTTTGGCATGCCAGTGAAAACATCCTTAGGCCCTATAAACTAACCATTTTCTACAAATAAATAATTATTTTCATAAAGTTTTTCTGTAAACAATTAAATCAATTAGATATTAACTCTTCCATGAAAATTCAAACTCAGAGCTTCTTTTAAAAATTTAAAGGATCAACTTTCTTAAATTGCTTCAAAGTTGAGAAACTCTACATAATCCAAATAGCAATTACGTATAGTGGAGATGTAACCAAAGTAAGAAAAGAGAAATCCCAACCGTTCAGCAGGCAAAGGGTCCTCATCATAAAATCAAATTCACACGATTTTTCCTCTCTAGTTTCTGCAACTAACTGAAAGGACGTCCGTAACTCAGAAGGTTATGTCATTTAATTACCATGTTAAAATATCTACAGTCGTACAGAAGCCGAAATGAATGACCAGACAGAAGTTGTGCACTTCCACGACACATATGCAGAAGGGGGGCAAGGAATACTTAGTAATTAATACCTAAATTACAAGTCAGTATACTTATTGATACGTAAGTTGGTCAACTATTGCAATTGGCATGAATGAAGGTCGCCTCCAATGATTTGCCTCCAAAATTTCAAACAGTTGTCACTTATCACTAACCATACGTTTATGCTTCAAATTACTTGATTACCACTTAAAGGACGCATTCTACTTTGTTTCCCAATAAGGTCAGACACATTTCCGCCATTCATGGACGCATTAATGCCACAAACCCATAAACAGACACAAATTCCAGCAAAAACCCGTAGGCATTCCATCACAATGTATAGGACAGTCTCAATGAAAAACAGTTTGGCATAAATCGCCCAAGAAATTGATGAGCTAATGATAAACGTTTTCACGAATTCCCAAATTGATGAGTCTAGGGTTTCCCAAATACACCAAACGCCAAAACAAGAGCAATCAAGACAAGAAAAATACCCGGGAATACACAAGAGTCGCGAAATTGGAAGCCTGGGCACTGCTAGTGACAACTTGAAGGCGTCTATCCCTGAATTTTCTCTCTCCTAGGGTTTTGGAAGAGGGCCCTTGTCAGTGGGAATAACACGAATTTGACCTAAAAACTAACATTTCACATCAAATGATCGCCATTAAAGCGTTTCTCAATGTTGGCGCGGAATCCAATCTCCCCAATTAGGTTGTCTTAAACAAATCTTGTAAGAATTTCGCAAAGAACTGATTTTGTTTCTTACATCTCCAACTAGTTAGTTCATCGTGCGGCGTAGAAGGACCATGCGACTTCTGCGATAGTGGGCTGGGCATGAAGACGACGATGACGATCAAGAGGGCTTCACAGATCAAACAATTTGGAGGCTCGCTTTGGGCTTTTATTACGTAATATTTATATTTCTGAAATCTAGCAGGTTCAGCTTTCAGACAACCTAGTGGCATATAAACATCTCGTTTGTAATCTCAAATTATTAAAGCATGTCGCTCTAATTTAAAAGAAAATTCAGCTTGCATTTTGTGATTGATTGAGTGTCTTTTATTATGGTGATTAATTAATAAATCATTTTTCCTTGGTGGTTTGTTTGTGGGTACAGTCCTCTAAAGTATCAATTTGTCTATTTTATTCGAAAAATAGAATAACTTGTTTATTTTATTCCAAAAAAAGATTAATTTGTTCATTTGATTGATAAGCAGATCGAATAAAATGAAAAAGGATATTTCTAAGAATAAAAATGGTATCTATATACCCTTCTGTTTAAAAAGTTAAAAGATAACGACAAACATTGCTGAATTATAATTAATTAATTAACTAATGTTTTTTGCCAGAATTAATTAATTAATTAATGCTATATGATAGAATTGTTATTCCTGAACAAATTTTATCATTAAAATTAATTTAGAACTCTGAAAATTCCTTCTGTGTGATTATAAAGTTGCCCTTCTTTTAGTAGTAAATGCCCAGTGTTGCTGCTACCTCGTAAATCATAAACATTCAATCATTATATTGCTTTTCCCTTTTTTTACCTAATAATTTCAAAAATTTAAGGCATGACTGGGTTAAATTCAAGGATTATTGGATACAATTAAGAACAATTGTTTCAAAAAAGCTCTTAACATTCACATATATTTGAAATTGAGACTTGTATTTAAGTGATCATAATGAACCAATTTTCAATATTAAAATAATTCATTATGGTGATTCATGAATCAACAAAAAGTGATAAATCAATATAAATATGTTCATAAATCAACATAAGGTTGTTTAACCAAGTATAGGACTATAACTTCTAAGTTTTGTTACTTAAAAGGTACTAATTTAAGACAACACTTCAATATTTATAAATGTCTCTCTTACCGTCACTCATTTTAGAAATTTAACTATTAAAATTTATTGTATTTGTCTTTAAATGCATTAGAGATAAAGTCAAATCATTATTTTTTAATATTAAAATTTATTGTATTTGTCTTTAAATGCATTAGAGATAAAGTCAAATCATTATTTTTTAAAATTATTATTATTTTGTCTTATGTTTTGAAAATGCAATTCCCACTCAAAGATGTTCATTGTATTTTAAAAGAAATTCATCATTGACCCAATTGGCATCCAAAAAGTGAAATAGGTGAGAGTGAATTAAGTTTAAAAAAACTGCTGCTCACATCTTAAAAGACATTGTGTATAGCTTTACTTTTCATTTTTTTTTTTAATATATTTTTTAGAGAGCCATGCAAACAATTTCTCTCCCTCTTCTCATATAACCAAGCCCACTTCTCAAGCAATTTCTCTCCCCTTTCTCATATAACCCAAACCCACTTCTCATCTTTCTCTCTCTGATTAAGGTTTAAAGAACATTGGGCTTGCTTGCTTGAGCTTGACCTCCAGCAGACAATGAGAATGGAATCAAAGGAGAACAAATGGAAGAGGATGTTGCTGTTGTTTATTCCAAGGACCAGTACAATATCATTTCAACTTTCAGGCAATGGAATCAAAACTTTTGCTATATATCCTGGTTACGTTTAATCCAGCTGACAATTTTTTTGTTATTAGGAGTTACCATGTGGTGAAAATGAGAGGGAAAGAAAAAGAGAGAGTAAATAAATGAGGATGGTGAATGTATAATGAATTTTCCCATGCCGCACCTGTAAAGTTTAAATATAATATTTACAAGTCTAAACGTTGCATTTTAATAGTACATTGAGCAAAACGATTCTGCACTTTTAAAAGGTTTAAATAACTATAACTGTGCATTTGATTCCATATTATCCACAAAAATATATCGTGACACCATTGGATTATTTGTGTTAAAGAGTTTTTTTAAGAGAAATTATTAAAATAATATAAATTAAAAGGTACATGCACTGGTTGCCATGTAAAATTTAAAATTTCCAGTCAGCATGTTTTTACTAAGAAACGTACAATTGAAACGATACACTTAACTGCCTAACAATATTTTCTTTTTTTTTTTTATCCACTTAACAAGAGGTCTCAAATTGATGGTTAAAAAACAAGAGACCTCAAATTGATAGAATTTCTATTAAAAAAGAGTCCCAATTCAGCTCAATCTGAATTAATTCAAGCTCCTATCAAACTCAGCTCGATGTGAAGTTGGTACCTAATATGATGTTTGGATAAAAAAAAAATCAAAAACTAATTAAGATTTTCCTCTTGACATTTTCCCCATTTTATTCCCATCCAATGCTTTTAAAACTGAACTAAATATTAAATAAAAATGTTAGTAACTTTGGGTTCAAATAATCCAACCCAATTGAACCAATAATTGAATTAATGACTGAATCAATGACATAAGAGTTAAATTAAAATAAATTATATATATAATAATAATCTAAATATAAAAAATAAATATAAACTTACAATTTAACTTAAAAATAAAATTAAATATTTTAAACTTATTATGACTTAATAAATCATATAACACAAATAATATTAAATAATTAAAAAATAAATCATTATAATAAAAAAGAAAAAGGAAAAATAATATTTTTTAAGCTATCCGTTTTTTAAGGATCGGATCCAACTCCTAATCCAAAACAGTCTACTCTAACCTAACAGTTCAATCGATTTTGTCAGTTTGATCGGGCCATTAACTTGACCAATCAACAACGAACAGTCCAGTTTGAGTTTTCAATCATTGATTTTATATATATGATGGTTTATTAATTTCTTATGAATGAAAAAAAATGAAGCCAGATGGGTCGTGCAATCAGTGACGGGCAGAAGAAGGAGAGAGGAGACAGGATCATTAGGAAATGGTAAAAATTAATTGCATTCCACACGTGAGAGATAGAAGTCAAAGGTTCATAAATCACCATGGATGAACGTTCCTGAGGCAAACATCGATGTTTACTTTAACGACATCAACAGATGGACTCTAAACCCAAAACTCAAATCATCAGAATATGAAATACAAATAATTAAATTTCAGCGAATCCTTCACTATTTTTTCTTGCCTCCACCAACTGCGTTATTCCCTCCTGCAGATTGAGCTGCCTTCCTTGCTGCTTTCTCTTGTAATGCCTTTGCATCTCTGCAAATCACAGGCAGAATACACAGACCAAGGTATTAGAAAGCATTCAACATAGACAGACAACAACAAAATCTTATTCATGCATAATTCAATTTCTGGAGTAATGTGGCAGCAAGATCGTATGGAGACCAGACCTGAGATTATAATGAACCAACCTTAAATCTCCACTCACACTTAAACTAATAAAAAGTATTTCAATAATTGCAGGCCACGCTTGGTTACCTCCACATGAAAGGAAAGAAGTATTCCATCCCATTAGATGAAATTTGAGATATTTAATCTCCATTATACCCCGATATCATTATTTAACAATAACTATGTATATATTTTTAATTTTTTTTATTCAAGGACATCAAAAACACTTCCCAGGAAATCGCTTTTCTGTCCCATTGCCTTGTTCATTCCATCCTGATGGGGCAGATCAATTGGTATCATAAATAGTACTTTATGTTATGCATCATGATCCATTATCATAGTCTAGAAGCGGCTGATTTGAAATTTTACGAGTGAATAAACTGTGGTTTGAATGTTCATAAATAGAACTAACAATATACGATTCATATGACACAACTAGAGTTCAAAGGAGCATTGTTCCCGAAAAAGAAAAGAATGATCAGATGGAATATAAGAAACTAAAATTCTAATTCAACTTATAAAGAAGAAAAAGTTGGATGACAGAGAGAGAAAGAGAGTTAAAAAGTACAACCTTTCCCGGCGTTGTTCAGGGGTTAAACCATCGTTCTTAGGTTGCTTGCCTTTAGTAGTAGCCCTAGCTTGAGCTCGTTCTCGATCTCGATCCCTCTGGTTTCCACGTGCGCTTCAGTTAAAGCTAAACAAAAGAACAAAGAGGGGAGGGAGGAGAAAAAGAAGAAGCATCAAGTAGTTTCCAGATAATACTCTCAGATTTTCTAGCTAACGAAACGGCGAGACAATCCAATCCAAGATCAACATAGTTCGTTAAAAGAAAATACAAGCCTTGTGAAACATATCAAAGGATATGAGTCATTGTTGTTGATTGATTCTTGTCAGGACGATAGCTAGAAAGCACAGAAAGATAGAAATCAAGAAACAATCAAATAATCAATCCCAAAAAAATTAGGAATACTTCGGAAGAGAACAAAGAGGAAGAGAAATTGCACCTGAAGAGGAGAAACGACCGAGAGAGAATGCGTGGACTCGGGCAAGGGAGATGCGACTAAGAAAGGGACAGGATTTGGAATCGAAGAGTCTAGATGGGGAGAGAGAGAAACGAAAAGCAAAACGAAGAAAGCGACTTTATTGGATGAGAAGAAAAGACATGTTACCGTCTGTTTGGTTTCAAAATAAGTTAGTGAAATTTCATTTGATAAAAATTAATTATTATAATAAAATTTATATTAAATATATTTTTTTAAAAATAATTAATACATTAAAAATTATTAAATTATGATTTTAAAATATAATTTTAATATAGAATTATTAAAATAATATTAATTTATGAAAATTTATAATTTTATTATATAAATATAATATATTAAAATTTGAAAAAATATGATAAAGATTTTAAATAATATAAAAGTTGATCTATAAAGCTGAAAATTTGATATTTAGTTATTTATAATTTTTTTAATTTATAATTTTAAAACTTGTAATTTTATTATAATTAATGCTAAAAATTACATAATTAATTATTCAATTTATAATTTATAATGCTAAAAATTTGATATCTAATTATTATTATTATTAAAATGATAATTATATATTTTAATGAATTAATTATTTTTTAAATAAAATAATAAAAATTAAATTTGAGATAGTATGGGGTAAATAATACTTCACTTTTAAATTTATGTTTTCAAAAACTACAAAATGTAATTTCCAATTTTTCATGTTTAAATTCAGTTAGGAAGTCTTTTCTAAAATACATTTAATTTCATAAAAGATCTCAAATAACTTTTCACATTCAAAAGTAAAAAAAAACACTTTTTGGAATGTGAAAAGTAAATAAATCAAACGGTGCCTTAAGTTCAAAAATTCTTTAATTACAAGTATATGTGTTTAGCTGGAGAGATGTTCTCCATTTCACATTTCACAATTCATATCAATAGATAAAAGGCTGAAAAACAAGATAGAGAATATTCTTTTTTTAATTCTTATTCTTCCTTTCTCTCTTTTTTATTTTTTTCGTTTTCATGTTCATTCCTGCAAGTCATTAAATTAACTTTTCAGAAGTCCAATGAAAGTTTTTAAATTTATTTTTAACTCTAATCTTATACTCCTTCCGGTCTAGATTATGAGTCGCTTTCTAGAAGGCAAACTTTGTCCACGATATTAGTCACTCAAAGCAAGATTTTGTATTTCAAAACAAAATTCTCAAAATACCCATCTCTTTCTCTTTCCTACTTTCTCTTTCTAATACTTTTGACCTGCTCTCTCTCACTCTCTCTCTCCACTTATTCTCTCATCATCTTCAATCTCTCTTTATCAATCGCCTCTTACCATCGAGCTCATCATTCCTCTATTGTAGTTCCTCTTTCGTTGTAGTTTGCACAAGTCTCGTCGATAAATTTGTGATTTGAGATATCACTGGATTCTCGTCGTTCAAGTCTGATGAAAGAGTGTTTTGAGGGTTTGTCATGGGATTAACTAATGAGGTGAGTAGTCGATGATTCTTTTGATAAGAAAGAAGATTTACGGCTGCTCGACTTCTCTAGAAAGATAACCTCTTTGAATCAAAAGATTTTGAAGGCATCTCATCTAAATGATTCTTCCCTTACATCTTCTTACTTAGTTAAGGCTGTGCATGAGAAAAGGTCTAATCGTTTGATTTGAATAAAGAGGCAATCAAGGATGGTGAAGAAGTAAGTGGTGGTAACGGCAACTTGATTTTAGGGTTTGGGAAAGCAAGTGAAAGAAGAAGATTGTCCACCCATTTGACCTGAATAAGTTTCCATTTCCAAAGGAAGACTATAAACATCTAACAAAGGAAGAGAAGGACTATAAGCAATTTATGTATGACACTTTGCATTATATGCTTTGATTAGTCTCAAATTTCTATGCCTTTGTGTAATTTTGGTTAGTCTAGAATTTAAGCTTATTCTGATCTATGATGGAAGTTAAGCTTATGGTCTGTTAGTCTAATGAATGATGATATTCTATTTTATTAATCCACTTCTATTTTGTGTGCACCTCTATTATGTTCTATTTTGTTACAATGCGTGTGTTTTGTTTTAATGGGAAATGGATCTTGTATTGGGATCTTATAAAAGAGAGATTTGGCCAAGATGTAGCCCTTCTAAGTGAGCTTTATTATTGCTCTTAGTTTCCCTATTAGAAGATAACTTAAACTAGGAAATGAGATTTGGTGTCTTCAAATATTGCATTAAAATTTGGAAATACCAAGTGATAAAATTTTCCTAGTATGGTTCTTATACCTTATAAATTTATGAGCATTAACTAAAGCTGCAACCTTTCTTATCTTATCTTCAGTTGCATTCTCTTTCCTAAAGGCAATGTTTTCTTGAATGGTCCTAGCAAAAAGGGTTAGCTCCTAACTTACAAGGGCAATATATGACCTTAGCTCTTTCAAGTTATAAGATTTGATATCCAGTCTATGCACACCATTCCATCCACTGGTTTGTAAAATCTTTCAGTAAGAGCAATAATAATCTTTCAGTAAGAGCGATAATAGTTGATTTACCACACTGCTTACTTTAGATTAGTCAAAGTCATGCTTTTGGCTTCTGCAATGATATAAGCACTGAAGAACAATATATAAAATTCTTCCTTTAGCTCTTGAATCTCAGTTCTTTTTTAAACTCACGACTAATTAATACACTTTGTTTAGATTTTCTCCTATTTTTAAATCAACTTCATTCCATGCATGAATTAATTTCTCTTGTGTCACTTTGTTCAGATTTGTGTCACTTTAATTAGTTTTCTTCCTTTATCTTCTTTGTTTAACATCTATTACAAAATAAATGCTTCGTTGTCAATGGCATCTATTATAAAATATTGATTGTTAATATTATGTGTTGTAATTTACATGACAAATTGTAACACAAAATATTAATGACCAAAACATAGAGGATCCACAAAAGTATTCACCCCTTAATCTGAATCATCCACCAACTTGTGCTAAGTGCTCCAATACTTCTTCAACTAGGTAGGGATCACACTTAAGTTGATTGTGCAGTTCCCCTCTTCCTTGCATAACATCCTTCTTCCACACTTGTTTGTCTTTCTATGACTTGCATCCCATATTTCCTTAACTTGACGCCAAATGTGTTGTGAAATATCTCCTTTACTAATCATACTTAACCAATTAAACTCATGTTAATCAACATATTGACCCATTTAGGAGATTACCAAGTTTTTTTTATTTCAAAATCAAGAAATCTCAAGTTTTTCATAATCAAAATGAGTTTAAACCATTCATGACCTCTTATATCAAAGAAAAAATAAATTACGAAAGCATGAAATACTTCAGAGGAGTGAAAGAAATTGAAAATAGTTGATAAAATAACTTATTTGCTATAGAACAGGGTAATGCGCCATGACTTGTGCACATCATGCCATAGCATGTTGCTCTTTATGCCACACGTCACAGCTTAGGCGCCAACACATTGCGGCATGTTCCACATTTTCTTGACAGCTAATTTTGCTGTCATTTGACAGTAAAATCAGGCAACTTTTGATGCACTTTGATTCTTTATCTGACGTTCGAATGACATGATCTAGGTGTCTACAAAAAGCTCTTTTCATAAACTAGCTAATGGCACGAGTTTTGTAACATCCCAATTTAAATTTTAATAGTTAATTTGGGTTAATAGAAATTTAAAAAAAATAATATTTAGAGGTACGAAAATTAGTAAGAGATAATTATTAAATCTAACTTAGGATATAATTCTAAAAATTTAAAAAATAATTAAAAATAAAAAAAATATTATTAATTATTATATAATAAAAAAAAAAGGGAAAAGGTATTAAAAAAGGGGGGAAGAAGAAGAAGAACAAAATTGCTTTTGGCCGCCGCACAACAATCATTATGTATATAATAATAAACAAAAAGAAGGAGAGAGAGAAAAGAAGAAATAATAAAAAAAATGTGTAGGACCCACTGAATTTTTATAAAAACTTACATGTTCCTTCGTTTCTTCATTCATTCCTTCGTGCGCGCTGAGGCAGAGAGAACGCGAGTCGTCGATGCTCCATATCTAAATTTTTAAGGTAAGAGTTTTTAATATGATTTTAGGGTCTAATTTTAAGCTCTTCAAGACTAAGTAAGTGTTCTAAAAATTTTTCTTAGTCATCTTTCTTTTTTGGTTTCTGAGTTTGTAGTGGTAGAAAATTTAAGATCTAGAAGAGGGATGAATTTATGTTGAATAAATATGGTTTTTGAGGTTGTCAATAGTATAATAAATGTTCTAGAGTATAAATTTGTTGATGATCTTTGAATTTATGGCTTATGGATCAAATTCTAAACTAGATCTGAAAATATATATTGATTTTATTGAGGTTTAGATGATTATTTAGGATGAGAAATGAATTATTAATGGTTATAGGATTATGATTCTAAGCTAGAGACTCAATTTTTAATTTTTGGGTATTTTAGGTACGAATTTATGAAATAAAAAGAAAATTTTAATAATAGAAATTAGTTTAGAAGTTGATTTTTAGATTATTAATGTTTATTGATAATTAAAAGAGGAGTTAAAAATTTTACTTAATAGTATTAACTATAGATTTGTATTAAGATTGAGATTAGGAATTATGTTATATTTTTAATTCTATTATTAGAATTATTTTATTAGTTTCAAAAATTGAAACTAATATTTATAAATAATATGTTATTTGTAGATTGTATTACTGGTGAAGATTGTGGTGAGAGAGAAATTTTAAGGAATAATTTATTAAAAAAGCCATAAGGTAACCATGCTTTTAATTTATGATTAGTGTTACTTCATGTTAATTGGGTGATTATTGAGAAAATTATGAATTTTGTAATATTGTATAATTGTGCAATATTATTATGAATTTATTTGATTATTGTGGGAGGTATTGGGAGACTTGCTATTATTGTTGTATTTATGTGC